CTTAATTTTAAATATAGTACTCTAATATATTTATGAAAAAATTACATAAATTTATACATTTTAATAAATAATTACTGATTTTAGCGATACTTTTCATTTATTACCATTTATAGTAATTTCTTTCCTTTTTTCTATCTCACTCTTTCTTTCTTCTTTTATGTTTCAATCCCTTTTTTTTTTCTTTCTTTTTCTCTGTCTCACTCGCTCTATTTTTTCCCTCCCTTTCTTTCTTTCATTCTTCCTACTTTTTTTCCGTTGTCTTTTTTTTCTTGTTTTTTTATTGTTGCTTTGTCTCCTCTTACTATTGCTCTTTTTTCCTTTTTTCGTCGAATATATTAAAGTTGAATTATTAGAAGAAAACTAGTATAATCGTAACAAATGAAGAGACATAAGAAACTGCAAAATTAATTAATTTAAATTAAAAATATATTACAAACATATTAAAGTTGAATTATTAGAAGAGAATCAGTATAATCGTAACAAATGAAGAGACATAAGAAACTGCAAAATGAATTAAACCTGAATTAAAAATGTATACAAATATATTAAAGTTGGATTATTAGAAGAGAATTTAATATGAATACAGAATGTAGAAAACAAAAGAACATTCTTTGATATGCACGTAACCCGAATAAAACTTGTATCAATAATGAATTAAACAAGTAACCAATTGTAACAAATCAATCAATTAATTGCAAAACGCATTAAATTTGTATTTTAAAAATATTTTACACAAATATTAAAGTCGAGGTAGAAGAGAAAATTAAGTATGAAAAGAAAATGCAACAAATGAAATATTAGACAATGATTTATAAAGTGAATTAAAGTTATACCAATAATGAATTAAACAAGTATCCAATAGGAACAAATAAATAAAAAATACAAAATTAATTAAATTTATATTACACTGTGTTAAATTTGAATAAGAAGAGAGAATTAAAAATGAATGAAAAACGTAGCAAATGACTGAAAGACAATGATTTGTAGAGTAAATTAAACATGTTATCAACAATGAATTAAACAAGTGTCCAATAGTAACAAACAAATAAATAAAAATGTGAAATGAATTAAATTTACATTAAATTTGTATTACATAGTATTTAAAGTTGAATTAGAAAAGAGAATTAAGAACGAATGGAAAATGTAATTAACGAAAGACATGACAATGATCTATAAATTGATAAGTTATATCAGTAATGAATTAAACAAGATCCAATAGTAACAAATATATCAAAAGAACTTCAAAATGAATTAAATCTGCATTAAAATTATATCATCTAATTCGATTTTAATACATTTGCGAGACTCTTTAATGTTATATTTAATTCATCTCAATCTAATATTTCTCCTACAATCAATTATAAACTTGACCAAACCCTCTTAAAATTAAGATATGAACGCCAAACGACATTTTCAATTATTTGTAGAATTAACTATTTAAATTTATCACAAATTTGTAAAATGCAAATAATGAATTAAAAATTTGAAGCTTTATAATGACTATCAATGGTGAAATCTTACTTCTGTAATTTTAATGATTTGAAGTTTCTGCTTTAAAATGTAATTTTATACAATTTTTACAATTTTTTTGTTCCTCTTTACATCTTTTTTTTTTGTATAAAAATAGTGACATGCACTTGATGAAATATGAAAAATTGATTTGTTAATTAAATAAAAATTAAAAGAAGAAGAAGAATTTTTTAAGAAAAGAAAAGAAAATAAGAATACGAAAATGATAATGATATAGAAAGAAAGATAAAAAGAAAAGAAAAAGATTAAGAGGCTAAAGGACCGAGAAAAGTAAGCAACAATTTTTTTTTATTTCAAAAAAATAATTATATTTAGTTATAAAAATTATATTGATATAAGTGATAACTATTTTTTAAATATAACATATTTATGTGATTTACTCTACATTTATTTCTTAAATTACGTGCCCTCAAGAAAGGCCTACTTTTTTGGAAGCCCAATTTGAGTCTGCTCTCTATCCGTACACTGCGTACTGTACAACACGTAATGCACACAAAATCGACCCAACTACTACTACTCTAATCTACTATTATTTTGACTGCCCATATCTTTTCTATCGATTCGACGAATCTGGACAAGAATAGTTACAAACCGAATCACTAATTTTTCTAACAAGTTCACACACTTATTACTTGCTATGTTGTTGTTATAGTTTTCTTTGGCACTTAAAGGTTATATTTTCATTTTTATAATTTTATTTGAATTAAATATTTATATATTTTAATAAATTTATCTTCATAATATAGGTAAAGTCGCATATTATTCACTACAATAAATAATTTTTTTTGTGTGTAAAGGTAACGCAGCGTGATAAAACTAAACCAACAATCATTTAATGAGATTTTCCAGTTTTCAAAACCAACGATATCATATTTTCCTCCATTTCTTCACGCCATTGCTTTAGTAGCATTAAAGGGTTTATTGAATAGGTGATAAGAACTATGGATATGTATTACTATTAAAAAAATATTACTTAATAAATTAGGAATTAATCATGCATATTAATAGTGTAACAATTAATAAAGCAATTTTAGTTGGTTTATTTTTTATTTTTATTATTTATATAAAATAATATATAAATTTTCTCATAATTTACACATACTAATCACACATAAAAGGAAAAATCATAAACTTTGATTAATCATGGAAAAATTACACAGCTAAACAAATTCATACTTATTTAATTACTCGTTATAACTATAATTTGCTATAAGAGCTAACCCATCGAGGATCACCTAAAGTTGATAGCAATTTTCACTTATACCCCTTAACTAAGATTTGTTCATTTTAAACACATCATATCATGTTTAACTCATTTAAACACTTTTTTGATAATTTGTCAAATTTGTAAGGTGTTTTTTTAGTAGGAAAAAAACTACCAATCACTAATTGACATGTAGCATTATTTAACTAAATATTATTTAAAAAAAATTAACCACTTTTAATTTTTAAAAAAATTATTCCAACACCTCCACCCCAAATTGTCTGCTCCATTATTCCACCCCTACCTCAAACCTCAACCCCTCTCTCTCACCAAGATTGTCTTCTTCACCCACCATCACCCCTGACCCTCCCCCACCCAAATTTGCCTAAATAAAAAGATATTTTTATTTGTTTTTGTCACTTTGTGAATGTCGTGAGATAAAAACGTTTTTTTAGTATATATTGATATTCGAATGTTTGATTTGGTGAATATGGTAATGCATTTGTTTTACCTTTTTTGAATTTTTTTTCCTTTACGATTGAATTTCTGGATCAATGCAAATAAAAAATTATTGCTTTAGTATATAAATATGGAGTCTCAATCTAGATTATTTTTTTTTGTGATTATGATGAGAGAATATATAAAAATTGATTAGAACGCTAAAATTATTTGTTATGAATGTTGATTTTAATAATTGAAAATATAATTTCTTGTGAGTTTGTTTTTCTTCTTCTTAAATTTGTAATTATTTTTCTCAAATTATTTTGAGGAGGAAGAAGAACAATTAAATAAGTAGAAGTATCGAGCTTAAAATTTCTGGATGCTAGAATTTAATTTTTGTTTGTGGCATCGTTAAATTTATTTAACCATGGAAAAAGTTTAGGCTTGGAAAATGGTATTCAAAAATTGGGGAAGAAGAAGAAAAAAAATTGTAAAATGAGGCTCTCACGCTCGTCCGTGTATCATAATTACTATGTCATCTCAGCAAAAAGTGTCAAATTGACACAACGGGGCATGATAAGAGGTGTCTAAAATGAACAAAGCTCAGTTGTGGTGTTTAACTGAAAATTAGTGTCAACTTTAGGTGGTCATTGATGGGTTTGAATTACCACTCGCAACTAACATTATTATACATTAATTACATGGGCTGACTTTGAGTGTTTATAATGTATATGTATAATTCGTCAGGATATACAAATACATATATATAATATACAATTATTTAACCTATATACATATACAATTCACCTCTCGCTCGCCTCTCTCCTCCCTCTCTCAATCTCGCTTGTCATATATATGAATGCATATGTATAATATACAAGTAAATTTAATTATATATATACAATTCATCTCTCCCGCTCTCTGCCCTCTACCGCTCGCCTCTCTCCTCTCTCTCCCAATCTCTCTTGCCATATATAATTCATATGTATAATATACAGTTATCTAACCAATATACATATACAATTCATCTTTCGCTCCACTCTTTTCTCCCTCTCTCCTCTCTTTCCCAAACTTGCTCGTGTCTTTCTTCCATATAACATGTAGCTACAAATTATAATTATCAAACTAAAGCTATAAAAATAATTAATTATTTTTAAGTGGGTGAAAGTTCTTATATTATTAATAATGTAAAGTGTTATGTGAGATAAGATCAACCAAATATAGTATAACTTAGGTTAGATTCTATACAGAGGTAACTCTTTTTACCATTTCTTAAAATAATAATAATTACAATTCTAAAGAGTATTGTTTTTAAGAATATGATTATTTTATCAATTTATAAGATATAATCAACTTAATATTAATTACTTCTATAAATAATGTAATTTTATTAAGAGTTTAAAAAAAGAACAGTTTACAATTCTAAAACAATAACAATTACTTATGACCGACCTAAAAGAAATTTTGTAACCTAAATTGATTTGTCATCCAACAACGAAAAAGAATCGTGTTAAAAATGCCTTGGCGTATCAAATAAAAGTTGAATGCAAAACTAAAATTTATTTTGGGTCACCTTAGAATTGTGAAAAATCATTTCGTATTATTATACAAATTTAAAATTAATCATGTTTATAAAGAGTAAAAATTTCGAGATCACGAAAACAGGAGGAGCCATACTGAAATTCTGACGACATAATGCTATCTAAATTTTTTTTTCCCTGTCACAGTTGTAACTTATTATATACTGAGAAAAAACAATTGCTATTTTGAGTGAGATATAAATAATCAAATCACTGCAACATCTAAAGAATTAAAATCCCACCAGAAAAGGTAAAAAAGTGAAGTCTTCAAAAAAGAGTAAAAAAAGATACTCATTGTTTCACTGTACACTAAACACTGGTAAACTATTCATCATTTCATCAGCAGGGGATTTCATAAAAAAAAAAAAGAGTTAAAAAGAAAAACATAAAAGAAATTAATAAATTTAACTACCCATTTACCAAAGTTTTTGCTTTTTTTTTTGGGGGGGGTCAAAACATGGCTTCAATGGCAGCTTTCTTAGGTATTCCACAGACAGGGCATTGACGGAGAAGAGAATCACAAGTTTTGCATGAAGAAAGATGTCTACAGGGTAAGCAAATCATGCACGAAGATCGAGAATTGCAGCTTTTGCAAATCATCTTTTGTTCATCTTCATCATGAACATCACAGCAAGATTCTGCATCTTCTCCATTGGTGGACAAACAATACCCACTTTCTCTTAGTTGTTCGATTGTGTTGTTTAATGACATGACAATAGCTTCGTTTTCATTCGCGATTCTCTGCCATGCTTCATTCTCCATCTCCATTTTTTTCAAGTATTCTTCTAGCTCTTTTGTCCTGCTCCCTGCTTTAACGATTTCTTCATCCTTGTGTTTCAGCAAAAACTCAAGTCTCGATTCGTATTTTCTCCAAATCAATCCTAGTTGTTGCTTTTTCTGCTCGTTTAAAATCCATCTCAATTTCTCATTCTGTTTTCACCAAAAACCAATCAATCAATAAATCGAATATGACAAGTCAAAAAAAAACAAAAAAGGATGAAATTTGTAAAATCGCACACCTGTGAGTTGATGAAGTGATCGATTTCAATCCTCTGTTTCTCCATCTGAGTGATTAGAAACTGTGAAAAAGGCATTGATTCAGTCATGTTGTTATTCATCAAATTCTGATTCATGAATTTCTGGTTAAAACTCTGTTGCTGTTGTTGTTGCTGAGTAGCAAAACAAAATTGATTAAATCCACAAGCATTCTCCATTGAACTACCTAACGAGAAGCCAAGATTATCCGTATACAATTGCGCTTGAATAGCCATATGAACAAAGCAAGAGAAGAGAAGAAAAATGGTTGGGTTGAGAAGAAGTGTTTATTTGTGTTTTTATTGAAAGAAACAGAAAACCTGAAAAAGGGGCAGTGAAAGGATTCTCTCTCTTTCTTTGTGAAAAAAATTGGCATTTAAAGAGTACGTACACATGCACATTTTGTGACTTCACTCTCTACAATTACCACACCGAATCAAACATTTGTCTTTTTGCTTTTATCAAAATTAATAAAACTTCTTTTTAAAAAAAAATATATATATTTTTGGTGTAATGTGAGGGATTAAAACTAAAAGGACCCAAATATTTGTACAATTAATTCTACCTATGAGTTACATCTGAATTTGTCCATTATTATATTTCGTGCAAATCTAATCAAAGCTCGTTTAGACAATTTGTGATTTGTGTTAATTGATATTAATACTAAACCAAATTAGATTGATAATTGACTGGAATAGATGAATTTTAAAAGTAATAATCTTATCAAGAAGTTACTTTATTTTCACACCTTTTTTTCTGGTAAATTAATTAGTGATTTGTTAGGAAGTTAATACCTACAAATCTTCAAGGAAGTGATAAAATCCAAATTTAAGGAATTCACACCAACGTATTGGAGTGGAATTCAAAACAATTTTTCTTCTAACTTAATTAATAAGTTAATTATGCACTTTTCCTTAAATACTTTTTCTAATCTTTATATTGAAAAAAAAATCAGCACTGGAATTTAAATATAAATAGAATTCATATAGCTAATCTCAATTGCATTAAAACTAACGCGTGTTGTAATTGTTGTGATTTGGATTAAATATTTCATGCATATAAGTCATAATGGTGATTCATGCCTCCTTATAGTCCACAGTGTTTAATTAAGTAAATTAATATTTAGATTCAGAAGTTATGTACTTAATAATGCTGATTAGCCATTTAGAATATAAGTTAATTTTGGACCTTCCGTATTACCCCCCTAAAAAAATGAACTCTACAAAAATATCTCTCGTGTTATTTTCATATTTTAAAGTGTAAAAATGAAATAAAAAATTTGTAAGAAAATAAAAATTTGTAAGTAATTACAAAAATCAAATTTTACATGTATAATTACTCGGTTGACACTTTAGAGTCCTTCGACAATTATTTATCTATGTATTAGTTATTTTATATTCTAATATGCATAAAATAATATAAAAATTTTCATATAACTTTAGTTATCATATTTTTAATTATAAATTAAATATCATATTACGTCGAATAATTCGTCTCCTAATTAACTATCAAAACAGTGGCCATGGTCCATAAGGGCCCGTCACCTATGGCTGCTAACCAAGGCTACTGCGCATACCTACATCATTAAGTATATAATATCTCGATTAATTAAGATATGAATCATTTAAGAACGATTTAAATAGAAGATGATTTTTAATATTAACATTTCTAATTTGAATTTGTTAACAAGTGAGGGAAGAATTTTATTATTTATCTTATCATCATCTTTTTTAATACAATATTTTCGTTGTTATAGGAAAGATTCAATTTTTTTTTTAAAGTGCTAAATGTGATGACTTTTAGTTGGAAGTTGAAATTTTGTTTTCCCATAATTTGGCAGCAAGTACTGGAATTAGACATAATTGATGATGAAACCATATTTTGTTACATGTCGCTATTATTTTGTTATTTAGCACAACATTTCTGACTAAAATTTCAATACTTCTTATCAAGTAGATTAACTTCACTCTAAATATATAAAGTTTCGAAATTTGTCATCAGAGTAGATTAACTCTATTCTAATATTAAACTACGTAACAATTTCGATATGCATGTTTGTCCTTTAGTCAAATGCTAAACATTTAAAATTATAGACAGTGAAAAGAATACACCTTAGGCTTAAATTGGGACAACTCATTAAAATGCATAGGGAAATTGTGCATGTTCTTATATACATATATTATCAATGGCGGCTCAAGCCCATTTGTATCCTAAATTAAAAAATAAATCGAAATCTATTTTTTAATTTTAGAATTTCTAAGATGTAAAGTTATATTTTTCTTTTTATTAAGGTACTTTATTTTTTTATGTTTTTAAATTAAAGATATATAATATTAATTTTTTTAAAATTTTGTGATCTTAAATATAGTACGTAAAAATTTAATTTAAATATTATAAAAAATACATTCTCTAATATCTCAAAATGAACTTAAAAAAAGTTTTTAAAAAATTAAAAGATATAATATTATTATATTGTTAAAGAAGCCTTATAATAATTTTATTATTATTAGAAAATGGAGCTTTTAAATTTGGAGGCCTAAAGGTGATGCTTCATTTTTAGAGGTAATAAGTCACCACTGTCTAGTCTACGTATACGTATAGTTAAGTTAACCACATATAATATGACATAATACGATATGTTTTTAAATTATACAAATCAATCTCAAATAGAAAATGTTATAATTTAATGAATTATTTTTTTAGGTAAATATGTATAATAAATGAAAACGTTATATGTTATCCGAAGAACTTTACTACCTAATAAATAAATAAAAATATTTGTAATTTAAACTATAAATATTTATTTAAAATAATTTATTTAAAAAAAGGTAATAAGTCACCACTGTCTAGTCTACGAATAGTTAAATTAATCACATATAATACGACATAATACGACATGTTTTTTAATTATACAAATCAATCTCAAATAGAAAATGTTATAATTTAATGAATTATTTTTTTAGGTAAATATGTATAATAAATGAAAACGTTATATGTTATCCGAAGAACTTTACTACCTAATAAATAAATAAAAATATTTATAATTTAAATTATAAATATTTATTTAAAAAAAATTGTGTTTAGTAAATACAAAGCTCAATTTAAGTTTTTAAATAAAAGTATTAAATAAGTTTAAGAGATTCACCATGTATTATAAAGGATGATATATATAGTTTGGAGAGACATCAAGAACACATGAATAAAGCAACAAGGAATAGATGTGTCCTTTTATGTTTCAAAAAAAATCATCAATTTCTTGCTTGTTACCCTCTTTCAATTAATTGTATCAATGCATATTCATATGATTAACCTATATCCTTTCCTTTTCAAATTGTTAGTATCTCCTAAAAGTCACTTTTTGGAAACTAGCATTATAGATCATATTGGATAATCACGCGTAATTTTCTTTTTATTATTACTTTATATAAACACGTAAGAAATCAAAGACCTTATATATAATTTCTTATCAATATCAAGTAGGGTATTAAATACGCGATTGGAACTTAATTTGAACGGAATTAATTTATAAATATATTATCAAGCTGATCAAAAATTGTTTGCACCAGAAAACAAGTCATAATCCAATCCCTTCAAAAAAAAAAAGTAGTTTGTTCTTTTATAAATAATTTTTAAGAAATTATTTTTTCTCTTCATTTCATTGTATTATATATTTTCCAGCTGTATATATAGGTTGAGTTATAAATAAATAAATTAATGACACATCATACTTTCCGCAAACTAATTGTATCACCCCTAAATACTAAGTATGAGAATATATTACCTAATGGTATTAGCTAGTAGCCCTCTTTACGAATCTGAGCTATATTAATTCACTTCTTCCAAACTCTTAAAAGTCTTACCCCTATTAGCCTATTGGAAGTATTATTATCTCGTATTAATTATATAATTTTTTTTTCTCAAATTAAAAAATAATTTCTTAAGTCTATAGGATTCGAATACATCACGAAACATGTAAATACATCATGAATAATATATTATTTAATAATGTGGATGTCACCGAAAAGAAATAGAAATATGTACTTGAAAAAGGAATAGAGATATATTCGAAAGGACATAGAGTGTATAGTTGAGGAAGTTTTTGTAATTCGTTTAAATGATAATTCTTTTTAAAATATAATGATTAAATAAGATGTGTATTTATATAATATTTTCTAAATTTATAGAGAATTCTACTTCAAAGTGCAAAAGTGTTTTTTCATATGCAATTTCATACAACATACTTAGTTACCTAATGAGTAAATTAAGTAAATCAATATCAAACTACTAATTATCCAATATCAATCGATGGGGTGATAATTTGTCTCCTTAGAGTTAAATAAATTAGGCTAATGTTTATTTTGTTATCAAAATTTTATTTTATTCGATATTAGACTCACACATAATGTTTAACACAGTCGGTTAGCGGAATAGTATTATTTTGTCAGATAATTTTTATCTCTGGAACTAGTTTTTAATTATGAGTTATATTTTCTTCTTTTAATAATAAAGGGAAAAAGTGATTTTGTAATAGCGTGGGGGGCATGTATTATAGTGAAAGGTGAGAAAAATAGTATGAAAAGAACTGCAAATAAAAAAGTTGATGAAGTTGTGAATAGTCATAATAATAATAATAATAAGTTCAAATCTTGATGTGTGCTCCCTTGTTTACATCCTTTTAGACTCTTTATTTTATATATAAAATAATTCAGTCTGACTTTACTGAAGAAATCAGCTAACGTATCTTTCTTTGTTTTTGACACACATCACATGTCCCATTATATATCCACAAACTAACACCTAACTAAATGTATATGTACCACACTTGACCCATTCCCCATTTTGGACGCTTTTCTTTCTAGTTTTTTTCATTTTATATGGCGATATTTAATGTTTTATTTTAGACATCGCATATTTAGTGGCGTTTCTTTAAAACATCAAATAAGAAGTAATTGTTAATTATTATTTTTTTATCATAGTGCATATATTAAGAGTAAGTTAATAGTAATTTTTTACTTTTAATCATATGATATAAAATTTGTATAATAATATTTCTCAATTAGAAAAGAATTTTAGGGTGAAAAAATGGTACCTGGTTGAAGTGAAAGGGCGTGTTGATCGGTGAGACGGTCAGGAAAGTAAGGGGAAAATGAGTAATGCAATAGCTGATTAGGGGGTCCATGTGCTTCCCACCTACTAAATGCCTTCACCGCTTCTTTAATAGAGACGCTCGATACTCATATTAAAATTTGATTATTTCAAATTGACACTCTATTTTAACTTAAATAGTTATTTATAATAAAAATTAAAATTTTATATTTAAAATATAAATATAAATTTTTTTTATTTTTTAAAAAGTAATCTCATTCACTACGCCACCAACTA